ACCCATCCATCCATCCATTCATCCACCAATGTGTCTATCCACTCACCCACCCATCCATCCACCCTTCCATCATCCACCCATCAACCCATCCATCATCCACCCATCTATCCATCCATCATCCATCCATAGAAATAGACATACCTATGTTCTTCTGTCCATCCACCTATCCATTCACCCATCCATCCATCCACTCATCCACCAATGCACCTATCCACTCACCTACCCATCCATCCACCCTTCCATCATCCATCCATCCATCATCTATCCACCAATCCATCCATCCCCCTATCCTCCTCCATCCCGCCCTCCCTCCATCCCGCCACACACTCATCCACCCAGAAGCAAAGTTATGAGTGCATCTACTGTGAAGCTGGCCCACAGAGGAGCCCACATAGGCTGCCCTTAAGGTGCTCACAGCAGGAAGGCCAGCAGTGGTCACACAGTGTGGCCAGCGTGGTGAGGACGATGGTCAGGGTAAGAGCATGATACTTGGGCCAGGTCTTGAGGTGGGGTGACCACACGAAGGTGGCTGGTCTCCTGAAGTGCAGCGAGGAGCACAGCCTAGCACCCGCTTGCCCAGTGGAGCCCAGGCCGAGGAGCCCAGCCTGCTGACTTGGCTCTCCCCACACTCACCCAGAAGAAACACCTCTGTGTGCTTACTTGCCCACTCTTCCCACATGGACATACATATGTTCTTGTGGGAGAGGGAGGGAGAGTCAGCGTTCTATTTGTAAACCCTTGGAGGCCAGGAGGAGGTGATGTGGGGCACGGGCCTACACACCCCCAGGTCTCTCAGAATCTTTGAAGGGGCAGGAAGTGGGCATGCTTGTGATGTCTGAATTTCCCTCTCTGATGTCTCAGGGAGGACATGGGCAGAGGGTGGTCATGCCTGGTTTTGTTTGCCTGCCCTCGAGTCCCCAGATGCTCACCTGCCAGGGACTCTGTCCCCGGAGCTGGCTGGGGCTGGGGTCTCCCTCAGGCGTCCAGAGGGGCTGGGAACCCGTGGCTCCTCTGGGTATCCCCTCCCTCTGCCCACTGAGGCCAGGACAGAACCATGGAGTGGCCATGGGGCCCAGGGTCTGAGAAGAGTCTACACATGTATTAGACCCTTGCTCTTCTTTCCCCCCCTCCCCCCTCCTCCAGCTCCCTCCTCCCTCTTCCCTTCCTCCCCTCCTGTGGCTCTCCTCCACCGTCCCCTGTCCACTTCCTGGTGACTCAGGGTTTGTGGACAGATGTGGTGGAACACTCATTTTAGGCTGAGTTTTCTGACGTGTGTGTGGCCTCCTCCCTGTGGTCAAGGCTGTAAATTCGTGTGGCCCTTGGGAACAGTGTCTTGTCAGGGTAAATATTGGTGGGCGTGGGGCCTGGCGGGGGAGGCCCGGGGGTTCCCAGGGCCCTGTGCGCTGGCTCAGGGCCCTGTGTCTGGGGTCTGGCCTGATGGGGGTGGCGGGCAGTCAGCCCCTCCCTGTAGCCTCCTGAGGTCACCTGGGGCATCACATCCTTGTCGCAGAGAGAGGCACCACTGGGCAGTTTCCGCAACTCTTTCCCTCCCTGGAGGACTTGGGGGGGTCTCTGTGGGGCCGAGGGGAGAGCGGAGCCCCAGCTGCACGGATGGTGGGTGCACAGGGCGGATAGTCCTTCCCCACATCTGCGCGGGTTAAAGGTGACAGATGTATCTGTAAATGCATCAAGCGCCCGCAGCCCTATTAAGGCAATTTTCAGTTTATTTCTGTTGTGTATGTGGCGGAGACTGCGCCCCGCCCACTCAACTGCAAGGGGCCCCGTGACAGCCCCGTTCCACAACGAGAACCCCAGTGGCCGTGAGGATGGACCAGTGACCCCACAGTGGAGCTGAGCCTGGGAAGGGGGCTCCAGATTCTCTGCTGGGAGGCTGTGGGGCCACCCCAACACCCCAGCCTGACGGAGCCCTCACCACTGCCTTCCGCCTGCTCCTTCCCACCGCATGCCGGGTGGCCTGACGTCACTGCCCACTGCCCCCCGAGACCCTGTGACTGAGGGATGTTAGGGTCAGACCCCTGGGCCTCGGGTCATCACCACTGCCTCACCCAGAGAGGCCGTAGGGCTGACCTTCTCAGACCTGGGGGAAGATCCACCTTCTCAATTCCAGGGAGGACCCACCTTCTCAACCCCAGGGAGGACCCACATTTTCAATCTCAGGCAGGACCCACCTTCTAAATCCCAGGGAGGATCCACCTTCTCAACTCCAGGGAGGACCCACCTTCTCAGATCTGGGGGAGGACCCACATTCTCAACCCCAGGGAGGACCCACTTCTCAATCCCAGGGAGGACTCACCACCTCAACCCCAGGGAGGACCCACTTCTCAATCCCAGGGAGGACTTACCACCTCAACCCCAGGGAGGTCCCACTTTCTCAATCTCAGGGAGGACCCACCTTCTCAACCCCAGGGAGGACCCACCTTCTCAATCCCAGGGAGAACCCACCTTCTCAACCCCAGGGAGGACCCACCTTCTCAATCTCAGGGAGGACCGAGCTTCTCAGATCCGGGGTAGGACCCACCTTCTTAACCCCAGGGAGGACCCACCTTCTCAACCCCAGGGAGGACCCATCTTCTCAATCCCAGGGGAGGACCCACCTTCTCAATCTCAGGGAGGACCCACCTTCTCAGACCTGGGGGAGGACCCACCTTCTCAATCTCAGGGAGGACCCGCCTTCTCAATCCCAGGGAGGACCCACCTTCTCAACCCCAGGGAGGATCCACCTTCTCAGATTCGGGGGAGGACCCACCTTCTCAACCCCAGGGAGGACCCACCTTCTCAACCCCAGGAAGGACCCACCTTCTCAACCCCAGGGAGGACCCACCTTCTCAATCTCAGGGAGGACCCACCTTCTCAGACCTGGGGGAGGACCCACCTTCTAAATCTCAGGGGAGGACCCACCTTTGCAACCGCAGGGGAGGACCCACCATCTCAATCCCAGGGGAGGACCCCCCATCTCAATTCCAGGGAGGACCCACCTTCTCAACCCCAGGGAGGACCCACCTTCTCAATCCCAAGGAGGACCCACTTTCTCAATCCCAGGGAGGACCCACCTTCTCAACCCTAGGGAGGACCCCCGCCTCTCAGACCCAAGGCAGGAGAAGCTGTGCTGAGTGTCCTGCGTCGGCCCAGATTTCTCTGATCCCCACCAGGGCTGAGGGAGCCTGGCATGGAAAATCACTCCCCCTGGGGGCCACGGAGGGGGCCCCTTCCTTGGCTTTCCCCAGGGCTCAGTGCCAGCCTGTGGAGGCCCCACAGGGAAGTGGCACAATGGCCTGCTGGCCTGGCTGGCTCTGGTTTCCTAATCCCTGCTCTCTCTGGCTCGGGCCACACACTTGGCGCTCCTCATGTGCCCAGGTCGCTGGGTCCCTGCAGGGAGGATCGTCCCTGGGCCTGGGGCTGGTGGCACAGCAGGACAGGATGAGGGGTTTCATCTCAGGCCCCTCAGTAGTGGCAGGCCCAGGGCCCTCCGTTCCTGGGCACCCTCTCAGATCCTGGGAGGACTCGCTCCTTGATGTCCTTGCCTCGTGGGGATCCCCCGGGAGTCGTCAGGGGTGTGAGCAGGCCTCTCGGCTCTGGGTGCCACCACTGTGGCATGGAGGCACAGCCCTCAGGGAAGGCCCCTGGAGGTGCCAGGCCAAGGCACCGACTCCAGCCAGCACTTGCTTCTGGTCACTGCCTGTGAGGGGGACAGGGGTCAGGGAAGCAGGGCATCCCGTGTGCCCCCATCCGCCGGGCGTCCCCCTTGTCCAGAGTCTCAATAACCGTTGAGATGAATCTGTTCCCACTTGCCCCGCCCCTGAAACTCGGGGACGACTTGATTGGAATTTGAGGCTGCCCCCAAGATCTGAGCTTGCTGTCCACACTCTCTCTGGCCAACGGCAGAAGCCAAATTCAGGATGCATGTCTGTTTACTGGAGGAAGGAAGTGTAGGGAAGGGAGGGCCCCCGACCTCAGTTGACCCAAGAGCTGCACGGTGGGTGCCTGCCTGTCTGCTCCCGGGAGGGTCATGCTCCAGGGTGGGGGGAGGACTGCCATGCCTAGTGGTTCCCAAGGTTCGGGGCAGGTACAAGTTCAAATGCCACAACCTCAGGGCACTTCCAGACAGGTTTTGGCTTGGCTTGGAGGGTCTGAGATTCATCAGAGGCCAGAACTCATCTCTGTGGGGCAGGACGCTCCCACAGTGAGAGGTGTGGCCCAGGAGAGCCTGGGTGCCCCCTGCCCTCCACCTCTGCGTGGTCAGCACGTCCTGGGGGTGCTGCGGGGGGTAGGGCATCTGCTGGGACCTGGGCACCGTTCCCTTCAGGCTGGCTACTCCTGGCCTTCAGCCAGTTCCTCTGTGCCCCCGAGCACCGATTCTGCAAGGCGTCCCCTGGCTGGGTTCCCTAAGTTCCGATTACATTTAATTCTAGGGACTGGCTCACTTGGGAAAAGGAGGGACTGGGGGGGGGCCGGAGCCGGGCGCCCCTGATGGAGCTCAATAAGCCTCCATCCGAGATGGGCCGGGAGCACAGCCTATGCCGAGACAGGGTGGCACCCCGGGACCCCACAGGAGCCCGCACCCTCCCTGCCTTGGGGGGCTGAGCACTGCCCGAGCTCCACGGGGCACTGGACGGGGCGGGCTGGGGGCCGTGGGGAACGGGAGCCTACCAGGACAGGCTTCCAGCAGGATCTGTCCGGCCTGGGCCTGGTGCCGCTTGCAGCCGGGAGGGACAAAGTTCCGAAGTTCGCTTGGGTGTGTGTTGGAATTGGGGTAATTGGGTCTGCTGCATCCTGAGGAGGGCCAGCTTAGCCGGGGAGCAATAAAAAGATAAGCCTCAGATAACCTGAGTCAATATTTCCCCACGGTGGCCCAGGGGAGCCCCCACAGCTGTTTTCTTGATAATCTGGCAAACGCCCCACCCCTCCCCAGCCCTCCCCGCCCTCTGAAGGCCGTGCTGGGCTATATAAGGCCCGGACCCCTGCCCCCAGTTGCTCTCCCACACCATCCTCCGAGCCACCATGGGGCTGCTACTAGCCTGCCTGGTGGCCCTCTGCCTGGCCCTAAACTTGGCCAGGGGCAAGGAGGTGCAGAGAGGTGAGAGGCAGCGGCAGCATGAGCTGGGGGCAGGAAGTCCGGGGCGGCCCAGAGCAGACAGTTCTACCTGCGAGGAGGAGGTGATCCTCCTCTGCCCAGCCTTTGTGGTGGCCTGGCATCTTCTGGGGTAGACGGCCTGGGCCCAGTGTTCTGCAGGCCCCACCCCTGCTGACTTTGCGGGGAGAGTAGGAAGGGGGGAAGGAAGGAGGGAAAGAAGGAGGGAAAGAAGGAGGGAAGGAAGGAGGGAAAGAAGGAGGGAAGGAAGGAGGGAAGGAAGGAGGGAAGGAAGGAGGGAAGGAAGGAGGGAAAGAAGGAGGGAAGGAAGGAGGGAAGGAAGGAGGGAAGGAAGGAAGGAAGGAAGGATGGTAAGAAGGAGGGAAGAAAGGAAGGAGGGAAGGAGGGAAGGAAGGAGGGAGGGAAGGGAGGAAGGAAGGAAGGAGGGAAGGGAAAGTAGGAAGGAAGGAAGGAAGAAGGGAGGAAGGAAGGAGGGAGGGAAGGGAAAGTAGAAAGGAAGGAAGGAAGGGAGAAGGGAGGAAGGAAGGAGGGAAGGAGGGAAGGAGGGAAGGAAGGAGGGAAGGAGGGAGGAAGGAGGGAGGGAGGGAAGGAGGGAGGGAGGGAAGGAAGGAGAGAAGGAGGGAAGGAGGGAAGGAAGGAGGGAGGGAAGGGAAGAATGAGGGAAGGAGGGAGAGAGGGAAGGAAGGAAGGAGAGAAGGAAGGAGAGAGGGAGGGAGGGAAGGAGGGAGGAAAGAGGGAGAGAAGGAAGGAGGGAAGGAGGGAGGAAGGAGGGAGAGAAGGAAGGAGGGAGGGAAGGAGGGAGGGAAGGGCAGGTGGTCCTGGGCTCCTGTCATCCCTTTGAAGGTGATTGCCGGGACAGAGTGTGTCCAGGGAGCGGTACCGGGTGGAAGCACAGGTGCTGGGCCGTTTTCTGTGGGTGTGGGGGAGGCGGGTCCCAGGGACCCTCGGAGGGGCAAGGCCAAGACGGCCCCTTCTGCAGAGCAGGGTGTTTGGCCACCTGCTGAAGGGGTGGCTTCAGCCAGAGAAGACTGTGAATGCAGGACGGGGACGTCTCGGTCCCAGCAGGGCTGTGTGACAAAGCCACTGGGGGGTCCCTGGGCCCGTATGGACAGACACGATGTGGGGACCCTCGGAGGGGTGCAGCACTGCCCGTCTGCTGGATGAGGGGCGGCTGGAGCCGGGGGAGGCCGGCTGGGGCATCGAGTGGATGGAGTGTGGCAGTGACAGAGGGGGCACTGGGGCAGGCGGACAGGGTGCTCAGGGACCCCAAGAGCCCACCTGCCCCGGCTCCCCACTCTGCAAACGGCCACGTCCAGGCCAGGCTGGGGTGCAAGGGCGTGGCACTGGAGCCGTCCTTTCAGGGGGCTGAGAACCCCCGGGCGGGGTGACCAAGGTCCAGCAGAGGCCCTGCTGCAGGACCATCTAAGCTGCTTCCAGCTGCCTCCAGAGGGTCCTCAGGGGGCGGCTGCCGGGCTGGGGCCGGGAACGAGCCTCCTGGGCGGCCTGGGCCGCTCACCCCTCCATCCCACTGCTCCCCAGAGGGCAGGACACAGAACCACGGCCACAACGTCTGCAGCACCTGGGGCGACTTCCACTACAAGACCTTCGACGGCGACATCTTCCGCTTCCCCGGCCTCTGTGACTACAACTTCGCCTCAGACTGCAGGGACGCCTACAAGGAGTTCGCCGTGCACCTGAAGCGGGGCGCAGGCAGTGATGGGCGCCACCCCCAGGTCGAGTACATCCTGCTGACCATCAAGGACGACACCATCTACCTCACCCACCAGCTGGCCGTGCTGAACGGGGCCTTGTGAGTGGGGCTGGGCGGGGTCCCCACTGCGTCCTAGTAAGGGGGCCCCCGGCTCCTGTGAGCAAGCCCCCCCCCCACTTCCCTCTACCCCGCGCACAGCTAAGGAGAGCACTGGGGTTAGTGTTCTGGTCACTGAGTCATTCAGCAAACACTGATGGGCCCCCATGGGCGAGGGACTGGGGAGTGGCGTTATTTATCCTGTGAGTCTCACAGCCCCGCAGCTCGGAGCCCACCAGGCTCTGGGTGTGTGGGACAGGTGGCCGTCCTGGTGGAGGTGGCCTGGCAGCCATCTGGTAAGGAGACCCCTGTGCCCTGCTGCCCCAGGCTAGCGTTACAGAGGCCGTGCAGGGCGGGGCCTGTGCGAACCTCCTGCCCACTGCCCCAGCCATTGTCCCTGCACTATGTCTGGAACAATGCGGCTCTAAGCACATTCCTGCCTGGGGGCCTCCCCACCTGTGGGGTTTGCCCTCTCCCTGCTATGGGGATCTTGTTTTCTGCAGAGGCTGCAGCCCAGGCAGCCAGGCCCCAGTCTCAGGGTGGGGGTGGGTACAGGGCCAACGGAGGCAGAGTTTGGGGTGAGCACAGTGCCTGGGCCCTCCCTGGGCGATGGATGGGGTGGGCAGGGTCTAGAGAAGCTCCTCCCCCCTCCCGGGGCTCATGGGGCCCCTGCCCAGGACAGAGCCGGAGGAGGGGGTGCAGAGAGGGAGAAGGGCAGGCAGGGTGTGCCTGCCCCCGAAGGAGCCCCCCCAGCCCAGGTGGATGGTGGCTCTCCAGCCACTGCTCAAGTCCCCCCAGAGGGTGGACAAAGCCTTTTGTGGCCACAGGGCGGAGCTGGGCAGGCAGGGCTGACTGAGAAGCTGAGGCCATCCCCACCCACATGATGCACAGCCTCGGTCACCTCCGGGCCACGGGACCCCGGGGAGGACCAGCCGTGGTGGGCACTGGGCCCTGGGCCCGGCTGGGTGGCTGTGTGGGCTGGCTCATGACCCTGGTGCCCCGCCACAGGGTCAGCACCCCGCACTACAGCTCCGGGCTGCTCATTGAGAAGAATGACGCTTACACTAAGGTCTACTCCCGCGCTGGCCTCACCCTCATGTGGAACCGGGAGGACTCGCTCACGGTGGGTGCAGCCCCCAATGTCACTGGGCCCTGTGGGCCTAGGGGGCTCTTCCGTCAGGCCTCTGGGACCCCAGGGTAGCACGGGGGAGCCAGTGGTCCGATCCTTGCCAAGAGGGGGTCCAGCGTGGGCTGGGAGTGCAGTGTGGCCTCTGTCTGCTGGTGGAGAAGGCTGGCGGCAGAGGTGGGGCTACGTAGCCCACCCAGGGAGGGGACCCTGGGGGCCTGGGGTGGTGGGCCGGCCCTCCCCCCTCCCAAACCCCTCCTGGTCCTCAGCGATGCCAGGACACCCCCTGGCTGACCCCAGCCCTCCTGCAATACCTGACACCCATTCAAACAAGGTGCCGAGGCCTGTCTGGCCATGGGCGCTCGCCCTGGCTGCCCCAGGCCTGTGGTCCCGCCAGCCGTGGCCGCTCACCTGCTCTCTCCTCCCCTGACAGCTGGAGCTGGACAGTAAATTCCAGAACCACACGTGTGGCCTCTGTGGGGACTACAATGGCCTGCAGACCCACTCTGAGTTCCTCTCAGACGGTGAGGGCCTCCTTGGGGTCTAGGCGGGCGGGCGTGTGCAAGCCCCCGGGGCACCCCCTGCTGACAGGCTGTGCCCTCCCCAGGCTTGCCCTTCAGTGCTGTCCAGTTCGGGAACATGCAGAAGATCAACCAGCCTGACGTGGTGTGTGATGATCCCGAGGAGGTGGCGGCCCCCAAGTCCTGCTCTGAGCACGTGAGTGGCTGGCCGGGGAACCCCCCCACGCCGGGGAGGAGCCATTTCTGAGGTGGAGACCCTATGGGAGCAGTGCCCGCCCCTCTCCCCGAGGGCCCTGCGCCTGCTAGCCTCTGCTGGGGACCCCCGGCAGCGTGGAGGGGAGGAGGGCGTGAGGAGCCCCCGCCCACTGCCCGCCCGCGTCTGCCCGCCAGCGCGCCGCGTGTGAGGAGTTGCTGACAGCCGCGGCCTTCGAGGGCTGCCTGGAGCTGGTGCCGCTGGAGCGGTACGTGCAGGCCTGCATGCAGGACCGCTGCCAGTGCCCGAAGGGTGCCTCCTGCACCTGCAGCACCCTCGCCGAGTTCTCCCGCCAGTGCTCCCACGCCGGCGGGCGGCCCGGGAACTGGAGGACTGGGACGCTCTGCCGTAAGCACTGTGCCACCAGGTCGGGAGGCGGGGGACCCACAAGGCACGTGGGAGGGTGATCCACGGGGAGCGGGGAGATCTTTGCCCGCCCGGGACAGGGCAGCCTGGTGCCCTGGACCAGGGGCCACGTCTGTGCCGACCGCGGAGGTGGCCTCGGCTTTGGGGTGCAAGGCAGACAGAAACCGGGGCTGGAGCCCAGAGCCTTTTGGGGTGCACCTGACAGGTGGACGCAGCCCCTCTGCTCCCCCTGCCTGCTGCCCTCCACCTCTGGGCGTGTGTGCCGGCTCAGGGGCCCTCCTCTGCCGTTCTAGCCAAGAGCTGCCCCGGGAACATGGTCTACCTGGAGAGCGGCTCGCCCTGCATGGACACCTGCTCCCACCTGGAGGTCAGCAGCCTGTGCGAGGAGCACCCCATAGACGGCTGTTTCTGCCCCAAAGGTCTGCACTGTACCGGTGGCGGGTGGGCGGGGGCGGGAGGGGTGCTGCCCTGATGCAGCCCACCCTGGCCTGGGGGCCGTGGGACCAGTGGTTTTGCTGCCTTGGGCCTTGGGTTCTTGGCTGCACTGAGGGGACAGCCATGCTGGATGGTGGGGGGCTGTGATGGCACAGGAAGCAAGGCCCAGTGCCCCCCTGAAATCAGATGAGCTTCAGAGAGAAAGGACACAAATGCTGAAGACCCCGCCTCATACACGCGTGATGGCGGCTTCCGGGAGTCTGGGTAGGGGGTGGTACCTTCCTAGTCATCCCCCCTGGACAGACCTCCTCCTGCCTGGCCCACAGAGCCTGGAGGACCCCGGGAAGGGGCTGGACTCTCAGGCCCCCCACAGCAGGTCCCTGACTAGACACTGTGTGGGCACCGCAGCGTCACCCAAAGGACCAGAGCTGCCTGTGGGTGGGAGGTCTGGCTGGCAGCCCCACCTCTGGGATTCTGGCACCTTCCAGAGTTTGGCCCATGGCTGTGGCTTTGGCAATAGCAGCCCCATTGTGGGGATTCCGGCACTTTCTGAGGCCAGTGAGTGTAACGTCACGTCCCCCGCTGTCCCAGGCACCGTGTACGATGACATCAAGGGCAGCGGCTGCATCCCCGTGAACCAGTGCCACTGCAAGCTGCACGGACACCTGTACAAGCCTGGCCAGCAGGTCACCAACAACTGCGAGCAGTGGTGGGTCCTGGGGGCCTGGGGCCAGGGGCCGGTCCCCCGGGGCCTGGAGCTGGGGTCTGGGTGGCCTGGGGAGGCAGCTGAGCCTGACCCTCGGCCCCACTGCCTGCAGCGTCTGCAACGCTGGCCGCTGGGCCTGCGAAGACCTGCCGTGTCCCGGGACCTGCGCGCTGGAGGGCGGCTCCCACATCACCACCTTCGACGGGAAGAGGTACACCTTCCATGGGGACTGCTACTACGTGCTGACCAAGGTAGGTGGGACGGCGGGTGCGGTGTGCCTGGCGGGTGTGTAGGTGGTGATGGGTGGGCGGGCATGGCGGGCAGGTGGGCGGCTGGCAGGTGGGCGTGCGCGGGGAGCTGCCCCCAGCCCCCGCCTCGCTCAGCACCCCCACCATCCCCACAGAGCGACCACAACGACTCCTACGCCCTCCTGGGCGAGCTGGCCCCCTGCGGCTCCATGGATAAGCAGACCTGCCTGAAGACGGTGGTGCTGCTGGCTGACAAGAAGCGGAACGTGGGTGTCCCCCCTGCCCCCCCAGCATCCCCGGGGGCTCCAAGGCCCTTGTCAGCTCCACCGTCCCCTCGGCCTTTCCCACAGGTGGTGGCCTTCAAGTCGGACGGCAGCGTGCTGCTGAACGAGCAGCAGGTGAACCTGCCCCACGTGACAGGTGAGCCCTGCTCAGGGGCGCGCGGCTGGGGGCGGCGGGAGGGCAGCCCCCCCAGCACAAGACCCTCCTGCTGAAGGTGGTGGTCCTGGGTGGGGTGGGAGGGACAGCAGGCTGAGCGGCCCCTCACCGCCCCTCACCGCCCCTCACCGCCCGCAGCGAGCTTCTCCATCTTCCAACCGTCCTCGTACCACCTCACGGTCAACACCGCCCTTGGCCTCAGGCTGCAGGTGCAGCTGGAGCCCGTCATGCAGCTCTTCCTGACGCTGGACCAGGCGGCCCAGGGCAGCGTGCAGGGTGAGTGGCCCCGCCCGCTCGCCCCCACAGAGCCCCACGCGGGGCCCGCCGTGGCGCCCCGACCTTCCCAACCCTGTCCTCGGCCCCTCAGGCCTCTGCGGGAACTTCAACGGCCAGGAGGGCGATGACTACCAGACGGCCGGCGGGCTGGTGGAGGCCACGGGGGCCGGCTTTGCCAACACCTGGAAGGCCCAGTCGAGCTGTGGGGACAAGCAGGACTGGCTGGACGACCCCTGCTCCCTCAACATCGAGAGCGGTGAGGCCTCGCCGGGCAGATGGGGCTCCCGGTGGGACGTGGGGGTTGGGTGGGTGGGGGGGAGGCGAGATGGCCTGCCCCCCTCAGGGCTGGCCCCTCCACCTGCGGCTTTCTGCCACATGCCTGGTTTATGGTGGCCCACGATGGCAGCCCGCCAAGTGACATGGCAGAGGGGCCAGGCTTGCCAATCACTGGGTGGTGGCCCTTGTCCAGCGACTGGCCTGGTGCCACAACAGTACACCCTCCCACCCGCCATGCTGCCCCACTGCGTCCCGGGAGGTGGAGAGGGTGGGTGGTGGGCGCGCCTGCCTTGCAAGTGGGCACCGTCCTGTGCTAAGCCGACCTGGAGGGAAGGACCTGGGCTCAGTCCACAGAGGGGGCAGTGTCTGCTCCAGCCTGGGTGACCGGGCAGCCAGACTCAGGGGACTTGCTGGAGGGCCACCCCCGCTGAGGTTCTGACCCCCCTCTCCAGCCAACTATGCCGAGCACTGGTGCTCCCTGCTGAAGAACACAGAGACCCCCTTCGGCAGATGCCACTCGGCTGTGGACCCAGCCGAGTATTACAAGGTGGGTGGGACCTACACCCGCACTCCCCACCCACCTGATCCGTGACAGGAAGTGGTGCTCCGTGCACCTGGCTGAGGCTGACGGCCACCTGTGAGGCTCCTGCCAGAAGTTGCTGTGTGTATGTATAAGCATGCGTATGAGTGTGCACACATGTGCTTGTGTGCACACGTGTATACAAGCATATGTCTCTGTGTGCATGTGTACGTGTTTGTGTGTGTAAGCACGCACACACGTGTGTGCATGTGTTTGTACATGTGCAGGTGGGGGTTTAAGCGTGCTCATGTGTGTGTATGTGTGGGTGCACGTACACTCATGCGTGTCCAGGAGTGCTTGCACACTTGTGGCATTCCCCAGCCCGGCTCTCTCCCTCATTGCCCTGCCTCGGTTTACCCCCAGAGGTGCAAATACGACACATGCAACTGTGAGAACAACGAGGCCTGCCTGTGCGCCGCCCTGTCCTCCTACGCCCGTGCCTGCGCCGCCAAGGGCGTCACGCTGTGGGGCTGGAGGGAGCAAGTCTGTAGTGAGTGCTGTCCCCTGCCGGCGTCCTGGGCTCGGGGCCCTGGCACATCCACGGGACGGGCGCCGGGCTCGGCCTTCGGTTCACCTGCCGTCCCATGAGGCAGCTCGCCTTGAGTCCAGGGAGAGGGATCAGTCCACTGCCGGCGGGTGACGCGGCTTCCAGCTTCCTCCGCCGGGAAGGGAAGCGGCAGGAAGCAGCTGTCTGCTGCTCCCGCTAGTGGGGAGGGTCCAGAACGGTGGCCACAGCCCATTTCCCTGACAGGGAGGCACGTGGGGCGGGGGCGGCCCCAGGGTGACTGCCCTCTCGGGCCGCCTGCGGGGGTGGGAGCTGGGGCAGTCTCTCACGCCGGCCCCTGCCCTCTGCAGACAGGGAGGTGGACTCCTGCTCCAACTCGCAGATCTTCCTCTACAACCTGACCACCTGCCAGCAGACCTGCCGCTCGCTCTCTGAGGCTGACACCCACTGCCTCCAGGGCTTCACGCCCGTGGACGGCTGCGGCTGCCCCGACCACACCTTCCTGGACGAGAAGGGCCGCTGCGTGCCCCTGGCCAAGTGCTCCTGCTACCACCGTGGCCTCTACCTGGAGGCGGGGGCGGTGGTCCTGAGGCAGGAGGAGCGATGGTGAGTGGCCTGGGGCCCGGGAGGGAGGGCGTGGGGGGTGGGCAGGGACGGCTCTACCTGGGGGAGCCCACATCCCCGCCTGACCCCACAGAGCCACTGGGCCTGCCCCACAAAGGGCCCCGTTCACCTCACCTCTCCCTGCAGCGTGTGCCGGAACGGGAGGCTGAACTGCGTTGCCATCAAGCTGATCGGCCCGAGTAAGTGAGCGCTGCCCACGCCCGGCCCTTGCCCCAGGCCCGCTCCCCCCACCACCTCTCCTGCCTGCCCTAGCTGCCCACTCCCTGTCTTCAGCTGAGCTGGGGTGGCCCTCTGTCTGCAGGCTGCAAAGCCCCAAAGATCCACATCGACTGCAACAACCGGACAGCGCTGGCCATCCGGAACCCCCGCCCCGTCAGCTGCCAGACGCTGGCTGCCGGCTACGTGCGTGCCGGGGCGGGCCGCAGAGGGGAGGGCGCAGCTGGGCTCCCACACTGACCCTGAGGCTCCCGTGCCGAGTCCTGAGGACCCATGAGCCTCACTGACGCTTCCCACCCCTGGGGGCAGGTGGCGGCCTGTGGGCCCGCTCAGCCTGCCGGGGTCACAGGGGCCAGTTTAGGGGTCCCTGGCAGGCAGCACTCAGCGGTCTCCCCGCCCAGCGGTGGAGGTGCCCAAGGATGAGGGGCTCTGGGTGTGGGCCAGGGCGAGGGGTCAGGGGTTGGGGAGAGGGGAGGGGACACGAGGGGTGTCTGTAGTGTCAATGAGAGGGCAGCCAAGGGCAGGGCTGGCCTGGCCGGCCTGAGCCCAGCCTCTAATCCCTGAACCCCACTCCCCGTCTGCCCCCAGTACCAGACAGAGTGTGTCAGTGGCTGTGTGTGCCCCGAAGGGCTGATTGACGACGGCCGTGGTGGCTGCGTCGTGGAGGGGGACTGCCCGTGTGTGCACAACAACGACATGTTCTCCCCCGGGGACAAGATCAAGGTGGACTGCAACACCTGGTGAGTGGCCTGGCCTGGCCGACCTGGAGAACGGGCCGAGGTGGGGGCTCCTCCCTGTGGGGCCAGCCGGGGCCTGCAGGGCCACCTGGCCTCCACCTGGCTGGCAAGGCCCTGGCTGGGATGGGAGTGGGGGCTGGGATGGCCCTTTCCGGGCTGGGATGGTTTGCGGGCATCGTGCGTGAGCTGCCCAGGGAGCTGTCTGCACGTGCCCGGGGCTCGGCCAGGCCGCCCTCTGAGCAGGGGTGGAAGGACCCGGGCCCTGCAGCCCCTCCAGGCCCCTCTCCTGCTCTCCTCAGCACCTGCCAGAGAGGGCGCTGGGCATGCACCCAGTCCAAGTGCCACGGCACCTGTGTCATCCACGGGAGCGGCCACTACATCACCTTTGACGGGAAGTACTACAACTTTGACGGACACTGCTCCTACGTGGCGGTTCAGGTGAGCCAGGGTGCCGCCAAGGCCTGTTCCTGCCGCGGTCCCGGTTCTGCTGGCCCTGGGCTGCTCTCAGTGGAGGCTCCCGGGGGTGTGGGGGGCCAGCCCCTCCTCCACCCTCCTCTCTGTGACCCTCCCTCGGGTGCACGGGGGGTATGGGCACGCAGTGAGTGACGCGTGGGGGGTTCAGGCCACTGGTGCGGCGTGGTCATCCCATTTCAACAAGAAGGGGCTGAGGCTCGGCGGGGCGGGGCACCCAGGGGGCACCTGTGGCCCAGCTGGCATGGCTCATACCCCCCGTGGGCCCCCAGGACTACTGCGGACAGACTTCCTCGCTGGGCTCCTTTAGCATCATCACCGAGAACGTCCCCTGCGGCACCACGGGCGTCACCTGTTCCAAGGCCATCAAGATCTTCATTGGGGTAAGTGCTGCCCACCCCCGGGGCTGTGTGGGTCCTCGGCACTCCTTGGACCTGGCCAGTGACCGGGCCTCTCCCCTGGGCACAGAGGACAGAGCTGAAGCTGGAGGACAAACAGCACACAGTGATCCAGCGCGACGTGGGCCACCACGTGGCCTACACCACACGGGAGGTGGGCCAGTACCTGGTGGTGGAGGCCAGCGTTGGCATCATCGTCATCTGGGACAAGAAGACCACCATCTTCATCAAGCTGGCCCCCTCCTACAAGGTGCACGGCTGCCCCTGCCCACCGGGCCTCCTAGGCGCAGAGGGGACCCCCCCCCCCGAAGGCCGCCTCACGAAGGCCCTGGCTCGCCTCTCCGCAGGGCACTGTGTGTGGCCTGTGCGGGAACTTCGACCAGCGCTCCAGCAACGACTTCACCACGCGGGACCACATGGTGGTGGGGAGTGAGCTGGACTTCGGGAACAGCTGGAAGGAGGCCCCCACCTGCCCGGACGTGAGCGCCACCCCCGAGCCATGCACCCTGAACCCGCACCGCCGCTCCTGGGCTGAGAAGCAGTGCAGCCTCATCAAGAGCTCGGTCTTCAGCACCTGCCACAGCAAGGTGGGGCGGGGCGCCGGCAGGCGGGCGCGGCTGTGGCTGGGGGCAGGCAGCATCTCCCCGCTCCACACCGGGCAGTTGCTCTGCTGCATCACCTCCAGCCTCCTCCAGCTTCAGCGCCATCCTCTGTGTCCTTTGGACACACGACCAGAGGTCCAGCCTTCCTTGAGACCTCTGGCTGCACCCCTAGCCTCCTGTACCTTCCAGGCGGGAGAAAGGATACACAGCCCCCTAAGGCCCAGGTGGCCCCCAGCTCTAGGCAGCGGGGGACGCGGGGACAGGTTCTAGAATGGCCCGTCTTACAGCTGAAGACCCCGGGGCCCTGAGGGTCTGCATGGCCAGAGTTGGCCAACCGTCTCTGGACCTCACCCGTCAGCCTCACTGGAGCCCTGGGAAGTTAGCGCTGGGTGATGCCCCCTGTCACAGGACCGGGGCTGGCCTCCGGGTCCTGAGCTCCTCCGGCTGCAGGGGGAGGCCTGGCCCCATGAGGGCAGCACAGGCCTGGGGTACATGGTGGCTTCTCCTGCAGGTGGACCCCAAACCCTTCTATGAGGCCTGTGTCCAGGACTCATGTTCCTGCGACACGGGTGGCGACTGCGAGTGCTTCTGCTCTGCCGTGGCCGCCTATGCCCAGGAATGCACCAAGGAGGGGGCCTGCGTGTTCTGGAGGACGCCGGACCTGTGCCGTGAGTGCCCCCCCGCTGTGGACCTGGGCGCCAGCGGGGCCGGCTGGGGGCTGCTGCACTCTGGGAGGGACAGCGCTCCCTACCCCTCCAAGGGATGGGTTGTATGCGGTCCCCTCCCCGCCTCCCCTGGTGCTAGGATCCAAGCATCCTTCCTCGGGGCCACCGTGGTGCCTGGGCGGGCAGGAGGGAGCTGGCCCATCCCTGTCCATCCCCCCCACCCTGGCCTCGGGGCTCCCCGAGTCTGACCCCATCCTCCCCACCCCCCAGCCATATTCTGCGACTACTACAACCCCCCGCACGAGTGTGAGTGGCATTACGAGCCCTGTGGGAACCGCAGCTTCGAGACCTGCAGGACTGTCAACGGCATCCACTCCAACATCTCCGTGTCCTACCTGGAGGGTGAGCAGGGCCCCTGGGGAGGGGCGGCCTGAGAGAGGCCCTGTGGGGGCTGGGGACCCCAAGTCCCAGGGTGGGCCAGGCTCACCTTCTGCAGAATCTGTTTGTTGATGGCACAGTGGGCTTGGAGCCTGAGCTAAGACCCCGCCCTCTGGGGAGACGCAGAAAAGAAGCAGGTTAACACCCAGTGGGTGTTGTCAGGAGCGAAAGTGCTGTGGGGGACCTGCGGGGGGGTGCCTTTCAGAGGCGGGTCTGAAATGGCTCTCCAGGGCCTTTGAGCTGAGAACTAGCAACATGGAGTGAGCGGCGAAGGTCTGGGGAGGGAGCATCCTACCTCATGGGAGGGATATCAGGTTAGGGGCTCAGGGCGCACCCCCTAACCCTAGAGGCTGAGCAGGGCCTGGCTGTCCCTCAGCAGGTGGGCGGGGCCTACCTGTAACTTTGGCCATATGGCAGTGTGCAGGTCCCAGCCAGGGGGAATCCAGGTCCCTGCCTTTCCAGTCCCTGGCCTTTCCCGAGGGATATCCTGGAGAAAAGGACCTGCCAGAGTGGGGAACATGGGCGGGTCTGGTGGACATGGGGTCCCCAGAATGGGGACCACGAGCGGGGTCTAGCGGAGATGGGGGTCCCCAGAGTGGGGACTACGGGCGGGTCTGGTGAACATGGGGTCCCCAGAGTGGGGACCATGGGCAGGGTCTGTAGGGCATGGGCTCCCCAGAGTGGGGACCATGGGCGGGGTCTGTTGGACATGAGGTCCCCCATTGTGGTCCAAACCCCATGCCCCGTGCCTTGTGCCCGCTAGGCTGCTACCCCCGGTGCCCTAAGAACAGGCCCATCTATGATGAGGACCTGAAGAAGTGCGTCACAAGAGACAGATGTGGCTGCTATGTCGAGGACACCCACTACCCACCTGGAGCATCCGTTCCCACGGAAGACATCTGCCAGTCTTGGTACCTAAGCTCTCCTCGTGGGGGACCTGGGGGAGGCCGGCATACGCACAGGCACACACACATGTGCCTGTGACACAGCCATATATGCACAGGTGCACGTGCACCCAGGTACATACACATACATGCACCCACGCACAGGCACACAGTGTGCTCATGCACACAGAGGTGGACACATCGCCACACGCATGCACACGCACAGCACACATGCACACCATGGGTGCACATGTGCATGGACACGCAGGCACACACACGCACACAGGCACATGCTGGCTGGCACACAGGAGCCGGGGCGCGGGGACCAGCTCTCTTCCCGGGGAGGGGCAGGCCTTCCTTCTCTGCCTCCCTTCTGCGTCCTGCTTTTGCCTACGCTGCCTCGTCCCCACTCTGCCACAGTTAGAGCCCAGTGGGCGGCTCCTCTGGAGTGGGCCTTTGGGGCACCGCCCTGGGGCTTTGTGCCGGCCTCGGGGGCGTGGCCTCGGGACGTGGCCGCTGGGGGCGTGGTCTCAGGGGCGTGGCAGGGAGGGCGGAGCCTGGGGGAGAGGGGGCGGTTCCTGGGTTCCTGGGACCTGAAGCTGCCGCGCTTGCCTTCCAGCGTGTGCACCGACTCCTCGCAGGTGGTCTGCCGGCCCGAGGAAGGTAAGCTGCCCTCTGCGGCTACTCCCGAGGCGGCAGGTCGGGCCCCCACCCAGGATGAGCCCACGGCTGCCCTGTCCCTGGACCCAGGACTCTCTATCTCCTCCTCCTCTGCCGCGTGGACCCCGGGGGTCCTTCCCGGCTCAGACCTGCCTGATGGGCAGCAGCCCCTTGGGGCGCCCATCCTGATGCTCCCTGTGGCAAATGCCCCTCCTGTGACCCAGCTTCTGCGTTCTGATGGGGGCCCCTTAGGGTTCTGGGGATGGGTCCCGATGGGGCGTTGGTTTGCCACTTGTCGGAGACAGGGGACACCCCGTCTTTCCTTTCCTGGGACAGGCCGAGGGGGGTCTTGTGAGTCTTGCTCCCACTGTGTTGACATCAGCCTCCCTCCCGTCCCCCAGGGAAGATTCTCAACTACACCCAGGATGGCTTCTTCTGTTACTCGGAGACATGTGGGCCCAATGGGGCGGTGGAGAAGCACTTCAACATCTGTACGACTACCTCACCACCCTCATCCACCACCACGACCCCTGGCCCCTCCACCACCTCGACCACCACCGCCACCTCGACCACCACCTCGACCACCACCACCATCCCCTCAACCACCACAGGTAAGGCCCCCATGGCAGCACATCCTTTTCCTCCTGGGGCTCCTGCTTCCCCCAGCACCCTGAGTGCTGCAGAAACGGCCCTTCTAGGGGCAGGAGTGTGGCTGGTGCAGCAGGCTGTCACCTCTGCTCACACATGGGAGGTCACGCTGACATGCCTCTTAACTCAGGGAAATGTCCCCCGGGCCCCCGGCCTTGTGAGTTGAGACGCTGGCGTCATGGGCCACACTCCCAAGCCCAGACCACAGTGAAGGTGACTTGGGGACGTTTCCAAAAACTAGCGAGAAAATATCCTAAGGGTTAGAGAAATGTCCTTAAATTCCTCTGCATTTGTTCTGGTTGAAATCATAGGTACCCCTGGACAAGCCACCAGGGGTACGACAGCCATAGGAAAAAGAAACGTGTAAAACTTAAAAAAGACTTTAAAATATCTTGAACTATACGACATCCTCTTTTTTCTTTTTTCCACTTTACTGCGGTTTCACCTTCTACTCTGACTCAGAGTAAGTCCCGTGGATGGTACTTCCCCGTGGCAGACAGGGCGAGGAGAGCAGGTCACACTAAAGCATCCGGGGCTTCCCTCGAGGCCCTGGTGTGGGGCCGGGCTGGTGGGCCGACTGCTTCTGCACCAAGATGGTGTATTTGGTGACTCAATTCCCAATGTGTTGAGTCCAGGGACCCACAGGGGGGGACTTGGCCGGCTCTGGGTGACAACACTGTTGGTCAGGAGATGAGGCCAAGCCCCTTCCTCACTGGAATGGGTGACCCTTTGGTTATTTACTTTTTCTGCACAAGGATTTGAGAACAGCAGAGGAAGGAGCCCTGGGGCCCGGAGGCCTGGGTCTGTCAGCCCTGGGAGCGTGGGGGGCACTCCTCCCTCTCTGGGCCTCAGTCTTTCAGCTGCAAAAGGCGGGTGGAAGTGTTGTCCAGCCCTCAACTCTCTGACCCCCCAACCGGGTCCTTGGGTGATGGCGGGGCAGCCGGTCGTGGGAAGTCTCTGACTTCTCTGAGGCCCGGTGACCTCCCGGGGAGGCGCGCTCCCAGGCGAGGGTCACCAAGCCTGCCTCTTGTTCCCTAGGGCCGTGCTGCTGGTCCGACTGGATCAACGAGCATCACCCCGGGACCGACATTGACAGTGGAGACTGGGAGACGTTCGACAGGGTCTGCCGGGCCCCCGAGGACATCCAGTGCAGGTCGGCCGTGGAGCCGCAGCTCGGCTTGGAGGAGCTCGGCCAGAGGGTGCGGTGCAACGTCTCGTCTGGGTTCATCTGCAAGAACCAAGACCAGTTTGGAACCGGACCATTTGAAGTCTGTTACGACTACGAGATACGTGTCTTTTGTTGCCAGCCAATGTATGAGTGTCCTACAACCACCACCCCGGAGACGACAACCCCAACAACTACCCACACTACCACCACCACAGGGACCCCAACGCCAACTCCCACCATCACCACCATTACCTCCACAAGGCCCTCAACCCCAACACCCACCACGACCCCCACCACCACCTCGACCATGACCACCACTCCGTGTATGGATGACTGCATATGGACTGGCTGGCTGGATTCTGGTAAACCAGCATTTACCAAACCC